CGGGATCGCATGAAGTGCCATGGGTTAGATGTCGAGGAAGGAGACCTGAACTGCTCATTGCATCCTGTCCCTGCTGCTACCTTGTCCCTCAGGGCATCCTTCCCGTCATCTTGGGACATCCTTCCCGTCATCTCGCGGCATTTTTCTTGTCTCAAGTTGTGGTGCCGGCAAGGTTCCCCATCTTAGCTGATGGATAGGATATGTTTGTATATATGTACACGCGGACTTACGCATTGTCTTAAAGCTGAAGGTGGTTCCTGTATTTTCCCATTTATTTTCCCGTTCCTCTTCAACAGAGGAGAAATGATTAGGAATTTGGGCCATGAAAGAGTCGCTTTTGTTTTGGCAAAGCAGAGGCTGTCGGAGGTGAAGATGTGGGGATAAAGGTGTGTCTTAAGTGGAGCTCTCAGGAAAAGCTCCGCTGGCTACTGGCTGGGAGGTGGGAATGCGAGGCAGGGGGGTGTCTAACCCCCCTCTCCTTTGCTCCCCTCCGGTCCCTTGCCCCCAGCAATCGCAGAGATGGGGGGACCCATCCGGCTGCCAACCTGCAGCCAGTTGACCGTGGCACACCGCTGCGCCGGGGGGGCTCGTGGTGCTTCAAGGGGCTTTTTGCCAGGACTTGGAGCTGGGCTACCGAAATCCGCTTTCATGTTCCTCCCAGCGCTGTTGGCAGCAGATCCACCCAATTCCACAAGTTCCCTCCTGGCTGGTGCTCACCCGGCTGCTCTGCGGGACTCCCACGCCGAGTTCGGGAGCTTGTGGCTGCAGTGTGCGGGGCATCCGGGCTGGCCCGTAGCAGCTGCCAGCAGCCGGGTGAGCCAGTTCCCCTTCCAAAAATGCCTGCCGCGATGCCAGACGGGCTGCGGAGAGACCCGTCGGATGAGCTGGGCTCCTTCGGCTCATCCCACGAGAGGGGCTCACTGCCCCTGCCAAGCCTCGCGCTGCTGATAAACCCCGGCCCTTCGCTTCCTCTCGTCGGAAGTCATTAACGCTGACGAGCTTTTCTGGCTCAATAACTCCCAGTAACTCCGTGCCGCCGCCTGCCATCCAACACCGCCGCCTGCCCGTGCTCCCTGCTCTGGGAGCCAGCCTTCTGCACTCACCTCCCTCCTCCTCCTCCTCTGTTCTCATGCAGATGGAAAACCCCAGTTTTGGGGTGTGCCTGGGTGGGAGCAGAGCATTTTGGGGACCCCCTCCATACTACCCACATCGTTTGAGAGGTGCGTGGTGGAAGGCTGGGTCATGCTGCCCTGTCTCCCTTGGGGTGCCCGTATGGGACAAGGGGGTCAATATGCAGCAGAAAGCGGAGCTGGTTCCGTTCTCTGGTCTTCTGCGGCTGTGTGGAACTGGCCTTACTGGGTGAGCTGGTCCACGTGGGTCCTGCAGCATGTCGAAGCATCAGCCATCAGTGCCGGTCTTGCTCATTACATGCCTTCACACGGAGCTCCAGCCCTGGGAGGCCGCTGCCGGCTGATGGGCTGTGTCTGAACGGGAGTTTGCCGCCGATAAAATCCTCTTTTCACTCCCCTTCTCCCTTCCACGAGCCTCCCCCAGCCCCAAGGCCAGTTTTCCTCTGCCAGCGCTCCTACAACTTGCTCCCACAGAGCTCCCCAAGGAGCTGCTGGGTTTGCCGAGCCGTGCTCGGGACCTGCCCACACACCCAGGACTGTACAGCTCCCACGGTGACCAGGGATGCTCCTCAAGTTCTCCTCCTCCTCCTCCTCCTCCTCCCATCTCACCACACGCCCCTGATCTCTCCCACAGGCGACCAAGCAGTTCCTGGAGGAGATCAACAAGTGGACAGGCCAGTACAATGTGTCCCCGCTTTCCTGGAACGTGGCGGTCAAGTTCCTCATGGCCCGCAAGTTCGATGTCCTGCGGGCCATCGAGCTCTTCCACTCCTACCGGGTAAGCGAGCGGGGCCGGGGCCATCCTCCCCTGGCCGAGGGCTTCCTGCTCCGCGCAAGATCTCTGCTCCCATAGAAGACCCTCCCTTTGCTTTTTTGTCTTCCCCCACCCTCCCTTACGGGTTTTATCCAGCTGGAAAATCCTTTTTCAGCCGAAGCGGGTCACCATGGAGATCTCGCCGACCCCAATCCCCTCCGCTGAGAGCAGTGTGCGTGCTCAGAGGGTGCCCTCCCAGTGGAGCATCCCCCCCTGTATAAAGGATATATGTCCATCTATACCTTTCCCATCCTGGTTTTGCAAAGCTGCTGTTCCCTGTGCTGGGGGTTACACTGCTGCAGCCAGTTGCAATCCTTTGCTGGAAAACGGGGGGCTGTGGAGCAGAGGTTTCCCCGGTGGGGCTTCCCTTGGAGGGCCGTGGTGCCCCGCGGGGACGTGGTGGTGGGTGGAGGGCTGGGGTGCCCGTGCCGGCCGTCACGCTGGCTC